CCCCCCCCCTTACGAGCAACAACAGCCACAATAACAACATTTGCAAGACTCAAATATGAAATATCCATACAATTACAAGCGAGTATCCAACCAATCGCCGGAGCTACACGAGCTATCATGCAGGCCACTACTGTGTTGAAACTCCGAGTAACGTGTTGCTTGCGGTGTATCATGTGATAGATCGTCTACCGTGCATAGACTACTAGCATCCAGGTCAACGAACGTTGCATTCATGTTAACGTCCAGGAGGTCTGGCGCAGAGGAAGTACGTCTTATGGGACCGGAAGTAGCGTTGCTGTTGTTCTTCATCGTTGCAAGGTCGTGTAGGTCTTGGTCTATTTGGTAGCCTATGGCTTCAAGGGCGTCCATTTCGATACGAAGATTCGACGCGATTACTTCGTGGCTTGGCTAAAATATTAACGTTTGAAGATACAAAGTAAACGACAATATATAGGCCAATCATTCGACTTTCAAATGGCTTTTCCCTCGGAACCAATCAAAGAGGTCGTTCATGCAGCCCTCCAACGACAGGAAACATGTTTTTCTGCCCAATACTTGTTGTCAAATTATAGGGGAAGCACAGGGGATGTGCCCTGCTAATGTGCTGTCTCTCATTGCTGTGATCATGGGTTCGATGTCTGGAGCTGCTGCCATATGTGAGTAGAGGGGCGTGTTTTGGGGGGGGAGGAGGGGCAATGTACCATGTTCCCGCCTACAGTCGCTTGCCAGTTCATTCATGTTTCAGATGTCGTTTTTTTAATAGGAATTTTTCGGTTTTCTCCATCCATAAACATCCAAACAGCTACCATAACAATCTTTATAGAAGAAACTAAGATATCAGGGGGGATATAGTGGAGGGGTTTGTACGTTCAGGGGGATGCGAACCCATCCTACCCCCACCCCTCCCTCCAGCTGAAGATCTTTTTATGAAGAATTGTCCAACGTGCTGACTCATCGGTTTCTCCTGATCATAAGATGGAGTCCCCTCTTCTAAAAGATCCTTCACCCACCCCTTTATATTTAAATTAATATGAATTTGAGTTTACATGTACCATACCTGATAAATGGGGTTTTCAAATGTCCTTTCCTCAGGATACGGATTGGATAGCGTTTCAGCATGATTTGTTGTTAGCTTCATTCTACCCTTAAAACCACCGTGTTGCATCTTACTCCTTACGACAGCTACTACCACTACCACAAGAATGATCAACAGGCAAGCTAATACAACCACTACAGGAACTATATACTCCTTGTTATCGTCACCTGGAAATGATCAACAGTCATAGTTTAGAAGATATAGCTATTATTGCTTGAAGCTGCTAATTAATCCACAGGGAGCCCAATTTAGATTAAAGTGAATGGTGAAAATAAAATCGGAAAATTTTTAAAAATAATATTTTTTTAAAATTCGAGATCAAGATAATGTCCTCCGTAATGCGAAAGAGTAAAAAATCATTAAAAAATGCACTAGAACATTTTTTTCGCGCGCGCCTTTGTTTTCCTATACTGTATAATTTCCCTATGGTATCTGATGTTGATCTTATGTATATATACTCTGACAAGGTGAGATGATGATTAGTGATGACGTTATTTTGAAGATGACGACGATTGATCAATGATGATGGGAACAACACAACAGAATATTGGAAAACTTCAGCTCCTACAGAACGTTTTTTTTATCGTATAGTTTTTGCTCATTGCCTTAGATTTTGTTTATTGGGAATCCTTGAATACTAAGAATTTAAAACTATATATTATGATTTTCATGTTTAGGTATAGTTTTCGTGCTTAGGATTTTAGAATTATTTGTATTGGAAATTAGTATTGAAAATCCCTGCTGGGATACACTAATAAAGTTATTGTATCGTATAGGTAATACTGTCCCAGTTGGATGAGGATGGTGATAAATATGGTATTGATAATGACCAGTGATGATGATGGGTGGTGATGATGATGACTAGTTCTGGTGGTAGATGATGATTAGTGATGATAGTATGAAGATGAAGATGAAGATGAAGATGACGAAGATTGATGATTATGGTAGTGACAGATGATGATGATGGTGGCGATGAAGATGGTACTGAACCAGTGATGACGAGAATGAATAAGAATCAGGTTATCAATATCTAAATTCTCATAGAATGCAAAAAAATATTATAGATTGTACGAGATGTTTCAACTGTATCGCAAGTAATAATCAGGTTGGTTCGTTATACATATGTTATTACTTTCAAAAATGTTTTCCAGTGATTCATCAATAAGATGATGATGAGTGATGACGATGAAGATGATGAAGAAGATGATGATGAGTGATGATGAAGATGATGATGATGATGAGTGATGAGTGAAAATGAAGATGATGATGAGTGATGATGAGTGATGAGTGAAAATGAAGATGATGATGATGATGAGTGATGATGAAGATGATGATGATGATGAGTGATGAGTGAAAATGAAGATGATGATGATGATGAGTGATGATGAAGATGATGATGATGATTATATCGATGTCCATTTATAAGGACTTATTGTATATCCTTCATGGTTTATTGAAGCCAATTCCTTACAGGATCAAGAGACCTACCTATGTTTTTACTTTTGAAGGAATCAATGATTGGAGTCCCCAATGATTGATTAATAAGATGACAGGTAAAAGAGGTCTCTCCATCGACACACGTTGTATTGGCCGGGCAAGGGTTTGAATCACACTCGTTGATTTCTAGACACAAAAATCACACAAATTACTACCATTATGAGATGTTACATATATAGTTGTGCAGACAAGAGAATAATTTTTTCTTTAGAGATAAGAGTTTTTCAGTGACGTCATTTATAGATCGCTTTTCCAGAGCAGCTGGAAACAAACGTTTTCGAACATCACACAGTCACGGTTACTGCACGGCACGAGGGTACAATTTTTGTTGAATTGCGCGTGTGAATTCCTTTTTTTCTTACGCCCTTCATATTATTGAGCATTAAGTTCTGGGCTAGCAGTTCTGGGATTCCAATCCCCCTCTCCTCCTTGCCACAGGGATCCCAAGTACAAATTGAAATGATTTACCTGTCTGACAGAGAAGACCAGTGTATCCCGGATGACAAATACACAGGAAGCCCGTGGGTCTACTGGAGCAAGACCCATATTGACCGCATATGTTAGAAGGAAATGTCGTGTTGGTATTAGCAACTCGCACGACGCAGTGATTGAACTCTGGAGAAAAGAGAGAGCAAATGTAATAGTAATAGTAAAATGAATAGTTTCAAGAATTACATGGCGCGCGCCACAATAAGAAGTTTCCCTCTCTTATTTATGCTCTCTTGATAGTAACTCTTCATTTCTTTCTCATTGACTTCATCATATTCACCTTGTTGGTTGAATTTAACAAAAGATTGTTCCTGTGGTTTCCATAGTGATATGAACCAACATGGTTTCCATAGTGATATGAACCAAAATGGTCTCCATCAGTCTCTTGGAAGTACTTACAAAAAAAGATTTCCTGTACAACCACAGGTAGCCACCCAGTAACAGTTCAGCTCCTTACCTTTTTCACAGCGAACACCAAAGAATCCAGTTGAGCATTTACAGTAAGACGCCTCTCCATCATCAATGCACTTGCCCCCGTTCAAGCAGGGTGAAGAATGGCACCTGTCAATCATTTGACATCCGTTGCCATAGTAACCCGGGAGGCAATTACATCTATAACCATGGACGAGGTCCACACAAGTCCCGCCGTGCTCACAAGTGACCCCATCACAATCGTTGACGTTAATCTGGCAGCGATCTCCAGTAAAACCCTGGCAGCAAAGACACTGGACCCCAGAGGGCGTGTCTAGACACGTGGAATTGTTCTCACAGGTATGGTTTTGACATCTGTCGATGATGACGTCACAATTTCTCCCCGTGAGCCCTTGCGCGCACGAACAGATGTATCCCATGTGAAGATCCAATGCACATGTACCATTATTAAGGCAAGGTTCCGTTTGGCACAAGTCTATTGACATGTTACATGACTTGCCTGTGTAACCAGGGTAACAGTGACAGTGGAAATCATTGACAAGGTCTTGACAAGTAGCGCCATTAGTACACGGGGATGATGAACACTCGTTGATATTTGTCTCACAAGAAGAACCTGAAGTTACCAACAGTACATATAATCACACATTTCACCTACTACCTCTCCTCTAAATATTTTTAATTCGAAAAATAAAAGCGGGAAAAAATGGAAGAAACGCTTGAATACTTCATTTATCATCATATATTTATAAGTAATACCATTCCCACTATCATCTTTATTATTATTACCACCATTATCATGATTTTCTGCCACCGTCATGATCATTATCATCACCATCATCATCATCATCATCATGTTTAGATTACCCGTTCAGGTAACAACCCCGCTCAGCTAAGCTTGATTCAGCATCTGGGAAGCCCTGGTAAGTAAACTATCTCCACGACACCCTTGATTCAATCTTTGCTGGTTTTATACCTTTTCTTTGTAAGAGAGACTCATTGGCTTTTATCATATCGCTTTGTTACACGCGCTTAATATTTGTAACAGCATCTGTTCAAAAACATAAACCTTTCCTGAATTAGTTTTAGTGAACAAGGAACAATTGTTTCAAGTTGAGGTTGGACTCAATAGAATACAGTAAATGTATAAACACATCAAGTCCGAACTTGCCTTGAAACCATTGTTTCGTGGTAATTTGAGTGAATATTCGGGAAACGTTTATGGATAACATAGATGACTCTAAGATTACAAACCTTTGAATCCTGGAGGACAAATACACTGCACTCCGTTGATAACATCTACGCAAGTTGCGTGATTCAAACACGGAGAACTCGCACACTCATCGATATTCACCGTGCAATTAGTACCAGTATAGCCCAGTGCACATAAGCACATATACCCATCAACCTGGTCAATGCAGCGGCTTCCATTATGAAGGCACGGTTGTGACACGCAGTCATCTATGTTTACTGCGCATGTCTGACCTTCGAAACCCGCTGCGCAGTAACACTCGAAGTCGTCGACCATGTCCAAGCACGTGCCATGGTTGCCGCAAGGATAAGAGGCACAGTCGTTGATATTTAACTCACATTTGAGACCTGTAAAACCTAAGGATAAAATTTACGAGTTATCAATATATATCTTCAATTACTATAAATGGGTTTCAGGAAGTACTTTGGGCGGGTCCCCTGGTAAGACGCGGGGAGGGAGAGGGCGTGGGGTGGTAATATGGAGTAGTATTCCATTCAGGGGCAGTAGTGATACTCCCAGTTGCTTCATGCTTGTGAGTTCTGAACCTGGTTCTTCGTCATCAAATTTTATCGATATCTTAAAAACGTTTAAAGTCAGAGCGTTGTTAACTCAAATATCGAAGTGGAATTTAGCGTGTTAGGTTTTACGGAAGGAGAAAAACAGGAGAAAAACCCCCCGAGAGACTTAACAAACTTTACTCACATGTGATGCCAAG